GGCTTACAGAGGTTCTGAGGCCACAGAAAGCCGTCTGCCATTTTGGTGTCCAGTCTAGAGTATGATTCAGCAAACTTTAACTATGAAAGTTTGAATCCATAAAGGAAACTTGGTGTTTCAACCAGTTATGTATCAGAGATCCTCTGTACCAGGGGTTTACAAAGTATTGTTTCTGGACTGGTAGCAACAGCATCACCAGGGAACTTGATAGCAGTGTAACTTACTGGGCCCCACCCCAGACCTACAGAATCACAAGCTTTGGAGTTGGGTCCTAGAACTCTGTGTTTGGATGAGCCTTCCTGATGGTTCTGCTCCATATTAAAATTTGAGTACCATGTCCTGCGTAATTCTCTTCATCTGCTGTACGTACAGCTAAAACAGATGGAAGGTATAACCTGAAAGTAATCCCTGAAATTCTCTATGACCTATTAATGTCTGGATGTCTTTTGTTTTGTTGAGAGCTAAGGACACATTATGACTGACTTTGATGGAATTTGATAACCTTTCTATAGAAAATAGGTCCAGTGTCATTAATCTTTTTTCCAGAAGGCTATTACTTGAACTACAAAAGAAATGAGCCCCATAACACGTAAAATCTACCACTGATGGCAGATTTTTTTCCATTTTGAGAAATTGATTTGAATGGAGAATTAAAGCAGTGGAAATTGGAAAAAAAATGAGAAATTAAGGGTTGCAGTAATAACTTGCCTAAATAGAAAAATAACCATGATAAATCTGGGACTTTGAAGTGAGTATGTCTATCACTGGAGTTCCATAAACAAATTACTACACACACACACACACACACACACACACACACACACACACCCCTCTCCTTGAGGCTCTAGGCTCTTTTGAACACTTATTTATTATGAAAATCATTTCAAGAAGCAACATTTTGTGTTGGAAAAAAGCATTTATAGAACCCCAGTATAGTTTTATGTGCTTATAGGTAGGACACACATGTAATGTTGAATGTAATGCATCTGTAATTACTTCAGGTTTGGGGCTGTCTCAAGATTATTGACATAACTGGTGATAAGAATTTAAATAGAAGTAATTTGGGCAAAATCCAGGACATACTTCTCAAGGGAATAATGGAAAGTTTTTCTTACCTAGGGTTTCTGAGAACTGAGTTACAAAGAAATAAGCATCACTCTCAAGTACTTTGATTTGCTTATATCCCTTGAAGGGTAGAATTAAAACTGAGATGCACCCCTTCTCCTTCCCTGTAGCCAATGTGTAAAAAGCTCTGTAGGTTTAGACGGTAATGAGTTGCCTAGAACATAGACTGCCAAATATAGAAATTATGTAATGCTACCAAAAAATAACTAATAGGTGTGCCCTGTGACGATGCCATAGACTAGCTGCTTAGAAAAATCCTTACAATCAAATACAAAGTAAGAAATTTTATTGCAAATGCTGTAGGACTTCTGCTACCATGCCCCTGCATGCAGCCAAGTTTTTCAAGAGGCAACTTGTGGAGAGAAGTATTTTATTATTCGTAATACAAGCAATAATTTCTATACCTGCTCCCATTGTAGTTGTACATCTAGTGAATGAAATCCTTTTCAGATATATCTAGTAAGTTACATTAGTGCCTGGATGACCTTTGTTTCCAATTACTAGAGTGTAATGAGTAATTTTAGTGTTTAAAATTACCACATGCATGACAATCACCAATAGTGTTTTAAATATTTTCCTTAATGCTGTGAAATTATTTTATAAGTTCCTTTTAGATTAGGAAATCCTAGAATTGAGAGAGACTACAGGTCACCAGCCCCAGAATCTTCTGCCACCTCTGCCCGGGATAGGAATTCTGTCAGTTTCCCTGATCTAGGAGTATTCCTTCAAAGGTTGAGGTAGAAATGGGTTCTTAAATGAAACAGAAACTTGGGTCTTTAAAATTTACAAGCTAGAGGTTCTTAATCTGTTTAGAAACCCCTGAAACAGTACAAAAAACATGTTTGTGTGTGTATTTTTTTCCTGGAGGAGAGGGTACATGGCTTTATTAGATTCTCAACGAGATCTGTGACTCCCTCCCCTCCTCAAAAAAGTGCCTCTGGAAACAGACTAAGTGTACCTGCCACTTCGAATGGAAAACTCTTAAGAACGTGAAGATGTCTAACATATCATCTGTAGGCTTTCTTTTCATCAGAAAGCATCTCTAATCCCTTCAATTATTCCTGCTTATTGTTTGCTCGCCTTTGTTTGTTCCTGAGAATTCCTCTTGTCATGATGTTCCAAATGTGGATTTCCTGTTATAAAATACAAAGAACTAAAAACAAGTTTCATTTAGAACTGCATTACTTGGGGTGCCTGGGTGGCTCAGTCAGTTAAGCATCCGACTTCAGCTCAGGTCATAATCTCACAGTTTATGGGTTCAAGCCCCACGTCAGGCTCTGTGCTGACAGCTCAGAGCCTGGAGCCTGCTTCAGATTCTGTATCTCCCTCTCTCTCTGCCCCTCCCTTGCTCATGCTTTGTCTCTGTCTGTCTCTCAAAAATGAATAAATGTTAAAAAAAAATTTTTTTTTAAACTGCATTTCTTTAATGCAGCTTGCCATTGCATTAACTGCAAGCATCTTTGACGTTGTATTGTTGGTGATCGGATAAACATCTGAGCTCCTGCCAGACTAGATCTTCTTCGTTCTGAATTTATTTTTATGTATTTTTATTTCTATAATGATTTATTTGTATACCTAATTATACAAACTGCATTCCTACCTATTCATTTTTATCATGCTGTTTTCAAATATTCTAGCCCAATTAGGGTCTTCTGAACTACATCCAGTGCCATACCAGTCCCTTCCACCTTTATGCTACTTAAGCATATGCCTTTCATGCTTCTCCCAACTCATTGACGAAAAAAGTTGACCTAGAGGTACTCCTGGTACACTGCACTACCGAAGAATCTCTCTAGGTTGACCTCAGTCTCTCCACCACCAGTCTTTCTTTATGATCTTTCTACTTGTTACTGTTGTCTCATAACTGCTCTGTCATCATGCCTGCTATTTCCCCACATTTTTCTAAGGTGTAATCAAAGACTTTATCAAAGGTCTTGTGAAAGTCAGAATTTACTCTGTTGTTTGAGATATCCTCTGCACTTGTAGAGGCAGGGTGAAAAAAGAATACGGGGCCCATCCGGCATGACTTGATTTTAGGAGACCTTCGTTGGCTTCTGGCTCTTCATTTCTAGGTACTTATCCCCATCTGTTTGATTATCTATCTGCAACAGTGAGCTTATCAGTCTAAAATTTCCAGTCTTTTCCTTTTCGATATTGTTTAGGTGTGGACTTTTAGCTCCCAATATGCCACCATTTTTTAAATGTATTCTGTGAATATTTATTGGGTACCTCCTATATAGCCAGTAAGGGGCTGGGTACTGAGAATTCAGACACAGGACCTGCCTTGGGGCACTTGGTGTCAAACCCTGATAGGTCCCTTCATTATTCTGGTTTATAATTTGGGAGGCCTATGGATTATAAATTATTTTCGGAACATTTTCTGGAAATAAGTAAGATAACTGGATTGTCAGTGTTAAATAGTTTGGTTGAGGTAGTAAGGCGCTTTGACAACTAAATAGAGCATTATACTACATAGACTGTGTGTGTGAAACAGTCACTGGCTACTAGAGGGAAGGACCTGGAGGCAGAGTGGACTTCAGTTCTAACAAGCATTTTATTAACTTCTTTCTCCTTCAAGTATTTGTGCTTCGTGGAAGAAGAAACAAAATTGTTCCATGTGCTCTCTGCTCCTCATAGTTTTCAGTCTATTTACATTGGAATCACCAGCAAAATCTTCCGGGTTCCTCCTGACCATACATGTGTTCCCACATCAGCCATCAGAATTTTTGTAATTTGTGAGTTTAACACTGGGATCATTCTTTTTAATTAAGTTTATTTATTTATTTTGAGAGAGAGATGGGGGAGAGTGGCTGAGAGACAGAGAGAGAGAGAGAATCCGCACTGACAATGTGGAGCCTGATGCAAGGGCTTGAACTCACGAACCGTGAGATCATGACCTGAGCCAAAATCAACAGACGCTAAACTGACTGAGCCACCCACATGGCCACTGGGCTCATTCTTTGTTGTGTCTTCAGTCCATGTCTCATCTCACCAAGACAGCATCCACCATGATTAGCCTTTTCAGATTCATATATAGCTCAGACTTGGCTTTTGGCCACAATACATTCTTCTAAAACAGCATTGTGCAACAGAAATATAATTCAGGCTTCATATTAATTTTATAATTTCTAATAGCCACATTAAAAAAGTAAGAAGAGTTGACATCTATTTAAGTAACATTTTATTTAACTCAGTATATCCAAAATGATAGCATTTTAACATGTAATCAATATTAAAAATTATTGATATTTTCATTCATTTGTTGCACACTGAATCTTCAAAATTGGGTATGTGATTCACAGTACTACATCACTCAGAAGTCTTTGTATTTTAGCCTTTTTGTTGTGGTTGGACAGTCAATGATTTTATCATTTTTGAGAATAAGCCCATCATGGTAAACTGTTACCATTTTCATTTATCTGTATCTGTCTTTCCTAAACTCCAGTTCGGTATAATCCCTAGAATTCCTAACAGTTTCCCATATTTTATGAAGCTGTGGTTTCAACTGGCACAGAGTAGATTGTGCTTAATGTCATTGTGGCATGTATCACAATGCCTTGCCCACAATGGCTACTCATTAAATATTTGTTGAGTGCATTAGGTACTCTTTCATTCTAAAAAAATCACACATCTGTTTTCTTAGTTGAGCTTTTATTTTTTTTTTTAACGTGTTTTATTTATTTTTGGGACAGAGAGAGACAGAGCATGAACGGGGGAGGGGCAGAGAGAGAGGGAGACACAGAATCGGAAACAGGCTCCAGGCTCTGAGCCATCAGCCCAGAGCCTGACGCGGGGCTCGAACTCACGGTCCGCGAGATCGTGACCTGGCTGAAGCTGGACGCTTAACCGACTGCGCCACCCAGGCGCCCCTTAGTTGAGCTTTTAAATCATTGTGAAGTGGATAGGGGCAGTCTCTCCTTTATTACACAGAGAAAACCGATTCATTTAGTCAATGATTTACCCAGTCTCTTCTGGATTCTGTTCTCCTGACATCAGTTCAATTCAGCAAGTACTTACTAAGTTTCAGGTGTTTCTTCCTACATTACAATACTATCTTCTTTAAAGATTAAGCCATAAAGCTGTTGATAAGATGCATTTTTGGTAGTTGTTACATAAAGAGTAATTGATTGTCTCTATCATTTGACCCAGCTAAGACTCCAGAGGTATAGTAGGAATCGTTATCTCCCAGCCATAAGAATCTAATAACAAACAAGGGAAATCTATACAGATCCTGACAGGGAAGTAACATGGTGTAGTCTGTAGAAAGACTACTTGCTTTTGGTCCTGGTTCTCCCCCCTCACTGTGTGTCTGAAGACCGGGTGTATAACTTCTCTGCATCTATGTCTCTATCAGAAAAATAAGAATAATAGTAATCATTCCATCTACCTTACCAGGAAATGTTAAGGATAAATGACATACTGCTTGTAGTGATGTTCTGTAACTGTAAAGTACTTTTTAAATATTAAGGATTTTTAAAAATCTATTATTATTAAAAATGGAAATTGCCATTATGGCCAAGTGGCTAGAAATTTTTATTACATTTTATAGCCTCCAACTAATCTAGATTAAGAAACCATAATCATAGGCACTTTTGAAATAAAATTTTACAAATTCTTTCTCCGATTATGAGATTCAGAGTATCTTGTTTCAGTCACTTCTGTTTTCAGTACTCAGTGAGCAAATAATGTCAGATGTGCCGCAGGTTGCCTTATTCTCTCAAATTCTAAGTGACCATACTAACCCTGAGCCACCAGAAGTGACCATTACCACTCACAGAATCTCACAGAATTTCATGAAATGCAAGTATATGTCAGGTTAGTTCTTTTTTTTTTTTTTTCCAACGTTTATTTATTTTTTTGGGACAGAGAGAGACAGAGCATGAACGGGGGAGGGGCAGAGAGAGAGGGAGACACAGAATCGGAAACAGGCTCCAGGCTCTGAGCCATCAGCCCAGAGCCTGACGCGGGGCTCAAACTCACGGACCGCGAGATCGTGACCTGGCTGAAGTCGGACGCTTAACCGACTGCGCCACCCAGGCGCCCCAGGTTAGTTCTTTCCTACAAGTCACAGATTGACAGATCATTATCCAGCTATGAATGGGCATACCACAATTGCCAAAACCTCTTTCTGTGGCCTAATGTTGACTCTCCACTTCCCCATTCATGTCCCACTAAATGCTAACCCGGTGACTATGGGAAAGTTAGAGTTTGTCAGTGGTCTGCTGTTATTCAGACGAAGCATGTGACATCTCAGTTGTTTTCTGTCCATCTCTGTCCTGCAAAGTAAGAGAATTATTGCTGATTTGTACTCTCTGAAAGTTTCTGCAATTAAAAAGAAAAAAAAAAACTGTTACAGAAAAGCTTAGATCATTCTTTTACCATTTTCCATAATAAGATTTGAAATTCATCCAGATGCATATGGGAATATCATCTTCTCCTCTAATTTATTTTTAAAGACATACTTTACCAAAGTAGTGTGGCTTATATGCCTTTCTGAATATCTGATAAGATTAGTCTCAGAGTTCACAAATATGGAGAAGCTGGGTGTGTTGTCTTTTTTTTTCTAGAATCCGTTGACAGATTTTCTCTGACATTTTCCTTAGTGTTGGTCTTTGTTAAATATATTTTATAGAAAAAGGATGAAATCTGAAATCTCTCAGCTATTAGATATTGTGGCTATTTGGTATATTTTTAATAAGACTTACATGTATTGGCATCAATTAATACCTTCAAAAGGTATGGTAGAGATGGATGGAAATAATATGTTTGGAATGTTTTGCTTCTTTTCATGTGAACATAATAATGTTTTATAATGTCAAGATTGAAGGGTTAGACCAGGAGTCAAAAAACTATGTCCTGTAGGACAAATCAGCCCCATTGCCTGTTTGTATAAATTAAGGTTTATTGGAGCATAAACTTGCTCCTCTGTTACATGTTGTCTTTGGTTGCTTTCTGCTACAATGGCTTGAGTAGTTGGGACAGAGTATATAGCCTGCTAATCCTAAATTAATTGACCAGCTGTTTCTTCGAAGAAAAAGTTTGCCAACTCCTGGGCTAGGCCATTAACAATTAGTCTGGTGAGTAAAAAAGGTAGCGCAAGGAGTGGTGTATTCTGTGTATACAGCTTTTGGATGTCTCTAGAAGTCTGGTCTACATTAGGCAAAAAACACGCAGATATTCTTAATACTGTGTATGAGGTGCGCAGAATATGCTCCCAACTATTTTCCTATTGTAACTTGAAGCAAAAACAACCAAATATGGTATCCTAGTAATGTTCTCTGCACAGAATTTATGTCTTAAGTGTTCCTTTCCTCCCTCCCAATCATTGCAGAGAACCCTTTGCTAAGGGGAAGAAGGAAAAGAAAATAAGATTGTTTGTTCAAAGTTTCATAAAATTCTGTACGGCCATTTTATCTGTTTTAAAAATATCTGAGTATTGCAATAAAATCTAATGCCAGGGACAGAGATCTGCAAATTCTATATTTGACCAAGAATCTCACTTATTTGAGAGTGATGCTTTGTGGAAAATCCTGTAACCGATGAAGAACCCGCATCACCTATTTCCACTTTCTTATGTTACCATAAAGAGCAGCTGTGTGCCAGGCCAGTTTTCTTCTCCATCATTTACCCTCACCTCCCTGACCGTGGTCCCTGGCTCGCTCCTGTCAACGGGCCACTCTGTCCATGCTAAGCCCCTTCTTAAGAGCTCAGCTCTGGACCACCTTGTCTCTGCCCATTGCCTACTTCTCAGTCTGGACCAGTACTGGCACCATCCCAGAAACCCTCCCTGCACAATCCTGGTGTGCAGTGCTCTGTGCCACCGTCAGTGAAGGCCACTCTGACTGCGTCCTTTCATTCTCAGAACTTCATCCATACCTCTGAATGTCATCTCTGGGATGGCAGTGTAGTCAAGGAAATGGAACCACAGTATCATCAGCATCCCTGGAATCATCCTATTTCTTGGTCGGATGTATCTTATCACATATTATTACTTAGCTTTTTATGTCTTTAGGACAAGGAAACAAACACTTTATAAATTCCTCATAGACAAGGAACCATTTATTCTTTGTAAATCTATTCATTGCACTTCACTGTGAGCCTGCTGTGTGGTAGGCACAGTGTCGTTGTTGGGGACATAGATATCGATTAGGTCTTGAGCCCAGGAACATTCAGCACTGCAGAACCATCAATAAATATTTGTTAAATCAGTAAATAAAAATTTAGAATTTCCCATGCAGCTTGGTGCAATTGCGACTGGGACTTTGCAGCCTGCATGTGTCTTTCCTTATGATATAGAACAGTCTGATCAAAGAAGACAAAGGTGGCAGTGACTCAGTAGCTTTCAAGTGCTCGGGAGCATTGCAGCCACTGAATCATTTGCTCAGACAGGATTTATAAGAACAGAATTGAGCAATTGTTAAATAAGTACTACCTTTTTCCACAGCAGATAATAAAACAGAAACGCTAAATGTCAAAGAATTGGAAATACAGGAGTTAAATAAATGTAAGGAAAAGCATAGCACAAGTAGCTATACTGAAAATGCAAGCTGTGGCCAGGAGCCTGGTTGAGGGCAGGATGAGGATGTGTGGCACGGTGGCTCTTGGTAAGTGAGGCACAAAGAGAAGTGGTCAAGAGGTTGCAGGGCAGCGTGGGGAGAGAGCAACTGTTCAAGAGAAGGAGAAATAGGAAAAAAAAATAGGGTATCTTTCCTCCATGCATGGGATCACCAGAGAAGGTGAGCAAGCACACGCAGAAGAGTGCCCTGAGAGGGCAATTAATTCTGTCCCAGGGCCCGGACAGTTGTGGCCAGCCAGCATCAGGGACTTTTCATCCAGCTTATATCAGTTGCAGTCTAGGAGCCCAATCTCAAATTCATAGTAAACTCCACGTCTTTTAGAGCAACTTGCACCAACCCAATTTAGCTGCCTTAATTTCCTTTTTCTGAAAGGACCGCATACAAACCCACACCTAATTTTCACAGACACTGGTGTCTTAGATTGCTTTGTGTTCCACGCAGCCTCATCCCGTGCATTAAATAGAGTTTTCAGAAAATAAATCTCATTTGTTGGTTGCTAATACTTTGTATCGTGATCTTTGAGTTACATATTCAGTGGTTATGACAAAATGTTGTTTGAAGCATTCATTGAAATATTTATTAAAACTTGAAGAAATGATTCTGAATACCTTCCATTTTTTAGTGACACATACGAATGGCTTGGTTGAAACCATTCCAAAAGTTCTAAAATTCTGAGAAATAAAGAAGTCGTATTTTAATCACTTAACATTTTAGATTGCTTTTTAATTGAAATGTAAGCACAGCAAAATGTATTTAATGAAATATAATAGTCTGTTTACTGCATGGTAGTGTGTGCTAATCAAATCAGGAAGTATTGGGGATTATTTCTCAAAATAGGCTCCAGGCAGGGCTCTGGTTCACCTGTGTTCCAACTTCATCTCCTATTTTCTCGCCTACTGTGCTCTGCAATCATAGTTGATGGTATGGATATTAACTTCAGGCAGTACAAGGTTATAAACCATCGAATAACAGTAATACATTTTTCAGTGACTTTTTCTTATGTTGTTTTGATAATCAGTGAACAAAACAGAGTTTTCTGGTTATTATTAACTAGAATATTTCTATTCATCAAGGTTTTAGTCCACCAAATTGTTCTTGTTCTAATCTGGTGGACCTATAAGGGTGTTTTCATCTCCTGTCTACTACTGACAGACAAACACCTTGGTAAAGCAACGAATACTTAAAGTTGGCGTTAAAGTACCATGTGAACACATCCCATTCAGTCACTTCAGGAGCCAGCATGAAACACTGAAGGAATCTTTCTTTGTGTACAGGTGTCTTAAATCACCTCTCTTCCCCAGTTTGCAAAGTCAGCGCTTTATTTAAAAGGGTCAAAACCCTTCCCTTATACAGTAAGTCTATATCTTCCAGAAATAAGTCAGGTGCTTCACAAAATAGGTTAAAGCTGCGGCAACAAAGTACAGAAGATACAGAGCTTAAACGTCTCTCTCAGTCATGAATTATTCATGGAGCTTGACCCCCTTTTCTCTTCCTTAGCCATATGATTGCATTTATTTCAAATTATGTCCCCCTCATCCTCAAACGTGTAATTAGATGGTCGAGTCCCCTACTCTCGTAGCAATCACATGACATTTTCTTGAAGCACTGTTCTAATGCTATTGTTTGATAATCATTCATTCTCATGTCCCCCTTCACTCAAGAGTGAGCCTCGTCAGGGCTGCGACCATATCTTATTCTCCTTTTACATGCCTAGTGCCGTGCATGTCACCTGATATGCTCTAAGTTTGCTGACTTTTCTGGGTCTTAATTTGGAATTCACTTTCATAAAGATGTTCACCCCAGGCAGATAGTTTGTTTATTTGTGTACTAATTTCAATATAATAGAGTCTCATTCTATTTTCTTTCTTCACAAATCGGAGAGAAATATTCTGAATGCCAGACTAATGCTTTTATAAATATCCTCTTCTCTTGAGCCCACATATCCTCACTAATTCCCCTACCGTAATTTCCCCAGCCTAGCATGCTGTCCCCCACAGCTAGTGTTTGGGACGAGCTCTATTTCAGGCATAGCATGTAGGAGACTGGACTTTGGGTGGCCCAAACTGGACATACTGACTTGTGACTATTCTCTTTCTTTTAACTTGATTTCTGCCATTCCTTCAAAGGTTTGGGGAAGATGATGAATTTTGCCTTTTTCTGAAAATAACTTCATGAACAACTAGGATCATTGCTTATTTTTATCTTCTGGCCTACTTTTTCTCACACAAAAAAGAGGTGAAATAAAGTGGGTGCTCCATCATATGTAAATATATCTTACATATATCTAAAAACTACTTATATCCATAAATATATATTTATCATAGATAAACATTTATAGGTACTTGTATCTTTTTTTTAATGTTTGTTTATTTTTGAGAGAGAGAGGCAGAACATGAGCAGGGGAGGGGCAGAGAAAGAGGGAGACACAGAATCCAAAGGAGGCTTTAGGATCTGAGCTGTCAGCACAGAGCCTGACATGGGGCTCGAACTCACAGACCATAAGATCATGACCTGAGCTGAAGTCAGACGCTTAACCAACTGAGCCACCCAGGCACCCCAGTACTTGTATCTTATTATTTTTTTTTGCTAATGAGAAGGCTTTTTAATTTATTTATTTTTTAAATTTACATCCAAGTTGGTTAGCTATAGTGCAACAATGATTTCAGGAGTAGATTCCTTAACGCCCCTTACCCATTTAGTCCATGCCCCCTCCCACAGCCCCTCTAGTAACCCTGTTTGTTCTCCATATTTAAGAGTCTCTTATGTTTTGTCCCCTCCCTGTTTTTATATTATTTTTGCTTCCCTTCCTTTGTGTTCATCTGTGTCTTAACGTCCTCACATGAGTGAAGTCATATGATATTCATCTTTCTCTGACTAATTTCGCTTAGCATAATACCCTGTAGTTCCATCCACATAGTTGCAAATGGCAAGATTTCATTCTTTATGATTGCCGAGTAATACTCCATTGTATATATATACCACATCTTCTTTATCCATTCATCCACTGATGGACATTTGGGCTCTTTCCATACTTTCACTACTGTTTATAGGTACTTATATCTTAAGTAAATATATATTTATAGGGATTTGTAGATTTTATTTGGATATATATCTTATAATGAGACCTTTGCTTACTCTTATCAACATCAAATAAATATCACAACAGCTGCTTCCATGAGTTCACGGGGCTTTTCTTTTTAGTAATTAGAAGTGGTGAGACTATTGATTGCTGCCTGCTGCAAAAGGAATAAGATTGAATGATACATTTTCTTCATAAATTAGCCCTAATGGCTTTGAGATTTCAGATAAGGCAATTCCACTGCTTTTACATGAAACGCTAACAGCTTCATTAGAACTATATTTTGCTAGGGTGCCTGGGTGGTCGGTTAAGCAACCAACTCTTGATTTCAGCTCAGGTCACGATCTCACAGTTCATGAGATCAGGCCCTGTATCGGGCTCTGTGTTGACAGCTCAGAGCCTGCTTGGGACTCTATTTGCCTCTCTCTCTCTCAAAATAAATAAATACTAAAAAAAAAATTTTTTTTTAATTAAAAAAATTTAAAACCCTGTATTTTGCTGACACTTTTGGAGAGTCTTGGTGCTACAAACAGGTCTAAAATGGGCATGTCATTTCTCACCATGGTCAGGATATATTTCCCTGGGCCAGTATCTGGAGCATCTTGAAAATAGGCAATAGATTTCCAAACCACTTGAGAATGGATTCAAGCTGGTTTGTTTTGTTTTGTTTTGTTTTGTTTTGTTTTGTTTTGTTTTGTTTTGTTTTTCTAAGCAGAGTGGGAAGGGAGGTTAGTTTTCCTTCTTCAGATTAACACCCTGTCCCTGTTCTGGTGGGCAGAGATGACTACCTCCTTCTTGTTTCTACATCTGAGAACTTCTTGGCG